GGAGTTAGTATGAGGAAGAAAAACTAGTTACAAAGTTGACACACATATTAAAAAAAGAAATCATACTATTCACTAGATCATGTAAGGATCATATAGAACAATATGATTTCTCTTTTTAATCTATGGATAAACTTTGTAACTAGTTGTTCTCCCTCATACTAACTTCAAATGTGATGGTATTTTTTCCTAAAACATTCTAAAATCATGCTTCAGTATTTAAGTTTGATCAAACTTGGATATGACAATGTTTTACACATTTTAAAATTTGAAATTTGAAATTTTATAAGTTCAAACCAAATTTTAAAACCCTAAATGATTTTAGATGTAAAAGTGATGAATACAAAAGTTGTTCAACTCATTAAGATCTACAACTTTAATTTTGGTCATCTTGTCATTTGACAAAATTTGAATCTTTTAAATTTGAAATTTTAAAAAATGACAAGTTCAAACCAAAATTTGAGACCCAAAATGATTTCAACATAAAAAGTGACGAATACCAAAGTTGTTCAACTCATTAATATCTACAACTTTTATTTTATTCATCTAGTCATTTGACAAAATTTGAACCTTTCAAATTTGAAATTTTGAAAAACGACAAGTTCGAACCAAAATTTGAGACCCAAATTGATTTCAACATAAAAACTAATGAATACCAAAGTTGTTCAACTCATGAATATCTAGAGCTTTTATTTTGGTCATTTCTTTATTTGATAAATGTTTAGCACACATTGTTCACTAATCTTACACATGTCTCACATAATTTATAAAATCTTATGAGAGATGTGTCACATTTATGAACAATGTCATTATCACTTTGTCATATGAAGAAATGACCAATACAAAAGTTGTAGATCTTGATGAGTTATTCAACTTTTGTATTTATCATTTTTTCAGCTGAAATCATTTGGGGTACCAAAATCTTGTCTGAAATTGTATTTTTTAAAAATTCAAAATTTAAATTGCTCAAATTTTTCATATGTATATATTGACAAAACCAACAAAATAACTTGATAGAGAATGATTTTAGAAAATTTTAGAAAAAAAATCATCAGATTTGGAGTTAGTATGAGGAAGAAAATCTAGTTACAAAGTTGACCTACAGATTAAAAAAAGAAATCACACTGTTCACTATAATCATGTGAGGATCATCTAGAACAGTGTGATTTCTCTTTTTAATCTGTGGGTAAACTTTGTAACTAGTTGTTCTCTCTCATACTAACTCCAAATGTGATGGTTTTTTTTCTAAAAATTTCTAAAATCATGCTTCAGCATTTAAGTTTGATCAAACTTGGACGTGACAATGTTTTACACATTTTAAAATTTGAAATTTGAAATTTAATAGGTTCAAACCAAATTTTAAAACCCTAAATGATTTCAGATGTAAAAGTGATGAACACAAAAGTTGTTCAACTCATCAAGAACTACAACTTTTATTTTGGTCATTTTGTCATTTGACAAAATTTGAACATTTCAAATTTGAAATTTTAAAAAATGACAAGTTCGAACCAAAATTTGAGACCCAAAACGATTTCAACATAAAAAGTGATGAATACCAAAGTTGTTCAACTCATTAATATCTACAACTTTTATTTTAGTCATCTTATCATTTGACAAAATTTGAACCTTTCAAGTTGGAAATTTTAAAAAACGACAAGTTCGAACCAAAATTTGAAACCCAAATTGATTTCAACATAAAAAGCGATGAATACCAAAGTTATACAGCTCATGAATATCTACAACTTTTATTTTGGTATTTCTTCATTTGACAAATTTTTAATACACATTGTTCACTAATCTTACACATGTCTCATATAGTTTATAAAACCTTACGAGAGATGTGTCACATTTGTGAACAATGTCGTTACTCGTTACCACTTTGTCATATGAAGAAATGACCACTACAAAAGTTATAGATCTTGATGAGTTATTCAACTTTGGTATTTATCACTTTTTCAGCTAAAATCATTTGGGGAACCAAAATCTTGTCTGAAGTTGCATTTTTTTTAAATTCAAAATTTAAATTGCTCAAACTTTTCATATGTATATATTGACAAAACCAACAAAATAAATTGATAGAGAATGATTTTAGAAAATTTTAGAAAAAAAAATCATCAGATTTGGAGTTAGTATGAAGAAGAAAAACTAGTTACAAAGTTGACCCACAGATTAAAAAAAGAAATTACATTGTTCACTATGATCATGTAAGGATCATCTAGAACAGTGTGATTTCTCTTTTTAATCTGTGGATAAACTTTGTAACTAGTTGTTCTCCCTCGTACTAACTTCAAATGTGATAATTTTTTTTCCTAAAAAATTCTAAAATCATACTTCAGCATTTAAGTTTGATCAAACTTGGATGTGACAATGTTTTACACATTTTAAAATTTGAAATTTGACAAGTTCAAACTAAATTTTCAAACCCTAAATGATTTCATATGTAAAAGTGATGAATACAAAAGTTGTTCAACTCATCAAGATCTACAACTTTTATTTTGATTATCTTATCATTTAACTAAATTTGAACCTTTTAAATTTTGAAATTTGAAAAAAGACAAGTGGGCACTGCAGGGGCGGCTAGTGATTGAGCCGCCCCTACAGATCAGCCCCAATTGTAGGGGCGGCTGGGCTGCTGGGGCCCGAGGACGCCCACTGTAGGGGCGCCCCCAACCCCAGCCGTCCCTACAGTAAAAATGCCCCCGTTCCTGCTGTAAGAATCTGGCGTAGTGTCTGGTAGTGTTAGGACAATATTTGAACCTTCCCTACCTGATCCTGGCTAATGACGCCCATGCCGCCTTTCCTCGTCGCCTCATCACATGCCCCATCTATCTTGGCAACTTTGGTCCATCTCGCAGGTGCAGTATCCCATCTAGGTTTTGACCGGCTTCCTTTGTCTTTTCTCCTGTACCTAATGACTCACATACCTCTGGCATTGAATGGTCGATGGTGTTGTCGAAATCTACATAGCTCCAGTCAATATATCAAAGGAAATTCAATGACCCTATAAATATTAGCTTCTCTATGTCATGGGCTAAATTTCTTCTTACCTACTCCCTTGGTCCAGAAAAAATACAATTCTCGTTTTCCGAGAAGACAAACAGCTTGAACTTTGACTAAAGTTATATAAAAAATACTAACATTTATGATACAAAATAAATACTATTAGATTAGTTATAAAATATATTTTTATAGTAAGTTTATTTATAAACTTGATCAAAATTGAGCTAGTTTGACCGGCATGAATCCTATAATTATATTTTTTTTGGACGAAGGGACTACCATGTTCTCCATAGGTGCAATAGCCTTCTTGCGGTCTTGCCCCATCCGACACCCAACTCATTCCTAGCAAAAATTATTTTGTTCGGTGTAAGACTTAGTACATATTCCTCATCCAACAGACTCCAATGTTTCCCCATGGCCTCTCCATAGGTCATGGCATGGTAATACCCAACTAAAAGCATGCATTGCTAAATGCTAATTATCCTTCCATGCCACAAATCTTACAAGTGTCAGTAACCTTGATAGTTCTTTTCTTCTTATTTGTTCGGGTCGCCAACCATCTTTCATTAATTACCTTCCATATCCAAATATAAGGATCTTGTGTGGAAGAGTCAACTTCTAGTAGGCTTTCCAACAAATTGTCCTTCCAATCTAATTAGAGGAGGTGGTTTGGTACCTAGCAGTGGCCATTGCCGGCTCCATCATATCTGGCAGTGATTGGCTATTCTGTAGCAGTGACAACAAACAAAGGCCTGCCGCAACTTAGGGGCAAGAGCTATGGCATAAGGCCGCGAACCATTGTAACAAGCCAAATGCACCCTTTAGTAAGTACTTCCAACAGTAGTAAATTTAGGCTAATAGACAGTTCATATATCCTTTAATTTAAGTTAAATTGAAAACTCTCTCTTAAGATCAAAAATCTTCCATTGATGCCTCCAAAGAGGTGTTATCTTAACAAAGGACAATTTAGCCAAGAGGAACTAGACTGGTAGACAAAAGTTTAATTTTTGTGATTGCATTGAAACAATTAAGCATGTTTTTTTATTGTTGCCATGCTAAAACTATTTGGAATATTATTCATGTAGCTACTGGATTAACCCCACCTACATGTACTACTCACATGCTTGGGGGTTGGCTCACATGCATTGAGAGGGAGGATAAAAAACTGATTTTGATGGGCCTGCTGCTATTATTTAGGAAATTTGATGTACTCATAATAATATTGTTTTTGAGAAAAACAAAATATTTTTTATGCATGCTATAGGATTATATTAGTTGCGATTCTGGACACTACTACAACACGAAGATAAAGGGGAGAAGTTTCGATTGGCAAGCAAAGCGATGGAGGTTATCGCTTTTATATGTGTTTGCCAAGAATAGATGGCAAAGTAATTATAGACTTTGCATATGATATTCTCCTATTTGAGTGCGCTCTCTCTCTTTACTTCTATAAACAAATAAACTGAAAATATTGCAAGATTTGGCTATGTGCGGTCACAGAGGCCGAAAATTTTCTATTTTCTAAAAAAAATATATACCCTTGAATTTACATCTCAGCTTCTCTTTAGTTAACTACTTGACAAAGACAACTGTAAAGGTCAGTGGCCTGGTAGCTTACATACATAGTATAATTATATGTATATATACGTTCTTTATTTACAAAATATCTTCATGTGCTACACGAGGCGGGGCCTGAGTCGTTCGGATGTTCATGCCACTGCTCTGCATCAGATCATGGGTGAACGTGTACATGTAAGAAGGGCAGGCTCGATCGGCCTAGCTATAATTGCACTGCACTGCACGGCCGGCCTGTCTATCTATTGCTTGAAATATGCTTCAGCGGCCCTGGTCCTCTCTCCAGCTCAAGGGCAGCAGAGAAAACAGCTGAGCTGACTCTGGATCTCATCCATATCTTACGTCCTGTTTGGATGTCTACCGTTTTGCTTCTCTTTGAGCCTGTGGCCTCCTCCCTGTCCCCCTGCTATCATTCAGCCAGAGCTTCCATGGATTCCACCCTCTTCATCATCGGCGTTATAGGTAAGCATGTGTACATATATGGAGGATTATAACTAATTGCTTTGTTAGTATTATAATTGCTTTGTTATTAGTCTTCATTAATCCAGCTGCTTTAACTATTTTCTCCTTTGTAGGCAACATCATCTCAGTTCTAGTCTTCATATCTCCTATGTAAGTGTGTCTTGATATATACATAGTTTTCCTGTCGTCGTCGTTGCTAGCTGCCTGCAAATTAAAAGCTTTCTTTGCCAACACCACGGCCGGGCACCACACCATGCATACACAGCAAGACGTTCTGGAGGATCGTGCGGAGCGGGTCGACGGAGGAGTTCGAGCCGGCGCCGTACGTGTTCACGCTGCTCAACGCGCTGCTGTGGCTCTACTACGGCGTCACCAAGCCTGACGGCCTCCTCGTTGCCACCGTCAATGGCTTTGGGGCGGTCATGGAGGCCATCTACGTCGTCCTCTTCATCGTCTACGCCGCCAATCATGCCACAAGGGTATGTGAGGGGCGATCATCATACAACAGCTAGCATGCATTTCTCTCTCGCTTCTCTGGCCGTGTACTCAATTCATAATTGTTTCTTCAAGCAGTTCAGTCTCATATGCTGCCATACATACCATATGTTTGGTTTTAACCCTTTCTAGATGAGGCGTGGTGCATGAGTTCATCCTATGAATTCTGATAAAATCACCTCGCTTCTTATGCTTATACTAGTTATTAGCTAATGAGACATGAGGTACGGTAGTGGAGGATCACACGACTTCGTTCCACCAAATCAAACAAAAAGTGAGAGCTTCATTGGTTTATTAAACCAAACACACCCTAATTAAGAAAAGCGTGCATCTTATTACTAGTTATAGTTGCTTTATTGCAGTTATAATTATGCAGGTTAAGACCGTGAAGCTGGCAGCAGCGTTGGACATCGGTGGCTTTGGAGTTGTGTTCGCGGCCACCACATTCGCCATCAATGAGTTAGACTTGAGAATCATGGTGATAGGAATGATATGTGCCTGCCTCAATGTGCTCATGTACGGGTCACCCCTTGCTGCCATGGTAAGTTTTCCACACATATTTATATACTAATTAATTAATCCTCTTTTCTTCTTCCCCTTTTAATAATGTTTTATCTGTTTGCCGTACGTGGATTTTGAGATGCACCTTTTTCTTTCATTTTCTCTTTATAGTTAAGACTGTGTACGCCCATGAAACATCACGATCTTTTACAATCATGACAGTTAAATTTAATTTGTGACCGGCTAAATTTCACATATATAGTAGCAAACTACTAAATGGACCAGCAAAGGTTATGGAAGATGACATTAATTGAGCAATGAAATTATTTGTCATGTAATGGTAAATAAATATATAAGTGACTCGATCGATGATCTAATATTATATTTTCTAATATTCATGCCACTTGCCCCACAGACAAATTAATATAAATAAATATAGTTTAAGTTTGGAGATATATAAATGAGAATAAAACTCCTCAAGATATTTTCCATCTGGCAATCCATTTGTGTCCACAATTATCGACAATAAAATGATTGATGTTTATGATGAACAGACAGCTTGTGGGGCAATTATTTTTTGCTGTGTTGTCCATTTCATGATTGTTTATTAAATAAGCACAAAGTCCAAACAAATAGTAAAAAGACATGTGCCCCAAGAAATTAGGGATAGTGACATATTCTGGAAATCATGTATCAGGGATATTGTACAATAATAAATATTTTTTCGTATGTAGATCCTCAATCTGCCCCTGTTTTTCTCTATTTTTTAGCTGACCCTCGAGCCACTTCCACAGTTTCACTTGCAGGAAGAGTATAATATAAATATATATGTGGTAGATAAACTGTACGTAAAATTCATATAATAATATCAATATATATTATATACCTCAATGAATCATCATTTCTAAAGCTTTTTTAGGTATGACAAAAAGTAAATTTACATTTCGGTACGTGTAGCTAAGAGCAGCCCCAACGCAAGATAATAAGAGTATATTAGCCTCAGACAAAAGTTGTATGCCATCTAGACTTAAGCAACAACAAAAGCAGTCATTTCTAGGCCGTGTTTAGATTGGGGTTAGGAATCAGTATTTGGTATTATAGCACTTTCGTTTGTATTTACTAATTATTGTCTAATTATGGTCTAACTAGGCTCAAAAGATTTATCTCGTAATTTATAATTAAACTGTGTAATTAGTTATTTTTTTATCTATATTTAATACTCTATGTATGTGTCCAAAAATTTGATATGATTAAGAGAGAGTGAAAAAATTTACAATCTAATCAAGGCCCTATAACGCAAGCCGCAAATCCTAACCTTGTAGGGTCCATACTCCAGAGCCTACTTCACATTTTTAATAGTATATGAGACGTGGTCCCCGAGCAAATTAACGTCATGTTGGAGCTGCTCTTCTCTGCAACGCACGTTTGAGTAGGTGCCTCCGTCTTTTGTCGGACGGAACCACCGCAGCCGCTGCAGGCGTCTCTGGCCTCCTGCGAAGCTACATGGATGTTGGCAGCAGTACTCCAGCGTGCGTCGAAGAGACCTCTGCCGCTCATAAGTTATGGCTAAAAATACTGACTGATTTATTGTAAGAGAAAAATATTATTCTTTAGCTGAAAAAGTACGGCTTATAAGCCAAACGAACATAGCGCTAAATGTGGGGCACATGCACGCCTGCATCGTAACGACCAAATCGAATTGGTCCCTGCCTTTACAATTTGTCACTAGAATGATATGAAACAATTTCCACAAATATAGATTGACATCCAAATTCTGATACAAGAAATTAATGATGGTCTACAAGCAGTTAATAAATAAAAGAAAAAAAGAAAAATGTTTATATTTTAATTTGAAATGTAAAGAGAACGTTACTTCGGTTCGATCCAGATTAAAACTTATAACAGTCTTCATATATACAGGCATCGTAAATAATTCTAAACTGCGCTTTCGTGAGAGATAAGCAAGGTTAGTCAACTTACACTTGCACTTTCTTGTACGGTATCTATTTCTTGCAAAATCAAGTTTGCCGTAAGATTATTTTACCGTTTTCTTTCTTTTTTTAAGATTATTAGCTGGTTGGTTATTGGTTTTCTTGGCAGTTAACAGGGTACAGTGTTGCACTGAATTAAATAATCATCATACGAGGAGCACGCGTTATATATCTACATACTGTTCTCTATTTTAATTATACATCACTTTTTTTTTACAAGAGAGAAGAGGAACACGCGTTCTCTGTACTAGTGCACGACAATACGACATGACGGTAACAGTATCTGGCGAAATACGGAGGGCGTCGCGACATGCCATCATGTTCATGGCAGTCCCGACCCGCTATTTGTGTCCTCCCTGTTCTTGTGGGCCTCGTCGGATGGGTAATAGATGTGTGATTATTATAACCAGCATCTCATTCTCATTTTACCGTTTTACCCAATTTCCTTAGGTCGTCATCTCATTGTACTTACATTTTCAGCAACACAAGACTACTCCCAAAGCAGCAAAGTAATTAATAAGGTTTATTCTCAACAAAATGTATTTATTATTTGTATGAATGAATGTGCATGGTGGCGTACAGAAAACGGTGATCACCACCAAGAGCGTGGAGTTCATGCCGTTCTTCCTATCCTTCTTCCTCTTCCTCAACGGAGGCATCTGGGCAACGTATGCGGTGCTTGACCGAGACATCTTCCTTGGGGTAATTTAAGCAGCCTTTGTTAGGCGTAACGGAGAGACTACTCATCACTAACCATCTGGTAGATTTATTTCCGACACTGACTGTTTCTCTGTTGGAACGGAATGCAGATCCCCAATGGGGTAGGCTTCGTCCTTGGCACCATCCAGCTGATCATCTACGCGATCTACATGAACAGCAAGGCCTCCCAGAGCAGCAAAGAAACAGCAGCGTCGCCTCTTCTGGCCTCCAACCATCAGGGAGAAGCATCTAGCCATGTCTGATGATGATCATCAGTGCGCTGGTGTATAGTAGCAGTCTGCTGTGTCAAAAGCAGTCCAACTTCCAAAGCCTACGGTGTACACCTACCGGTAGTATGCAAGAGATTACCAATTTTTATTATTTGAGAATGTAAAGTTTGTTTCTTTGATGATTTTTTTCTTTTGTATAAGCTTCGAAGATGCCCACGTCGACCCAGTTACATTTTAGACTGTTATTAGCAGCATAATTTTGCCAGAGAAAAGGCGTGGTGAAAATTTCAGAGAAGGGCGGCGGCTCCGTAGGGTTTCCCTGCCCAGGTGCGGCGACTGTTGGTGGCCTGGGCCAGCTGGACCACGCAGTGGTGGGCTGCGTGGAGCGGGCGGGGCCGCGGGGGAGAAACGTGGCCGCGAGATGGGCTTCTCATCCTCCTCCTCCTCCTTTTTCTTCTTATTCTTTCACCATCGTGGGATATCATAACAATTCCGGTTATATAAAAACTGAGCATGCACATGGAATCGACGTCAACCCGAACATGCAATGCCTTATGAAGAATATCATAACATGCATTTCACTCGAAAGAAACGGAGATTGCACCACGATGGTAGCAAACACGCAATTAACCAGGAAGCACGAACATTCGACCACGATGAACAATTCTTTAGTGGTCATGAACGAAAGCTAAAAAAAAAAGAAAGAGTCAGCAAAATCCTAATCTATGCAAAGTAATCTGCTGCTCTCCCTTGTACGTGCGGCAGGGACAGACGCCGAAAGGGCTCCTTTGATGCTGCACTGTAGCCGCGGCAGGGGCAGGCGCCGAAACCTGTACGTGCGGCAGGGACAGACGCCGAAATGGCTCCTTTGATGCTGCACTGTAGCCGCGGCAGGGACAGGCGCCGAAAGGCTCCCATGTCGTACTGTAGCCACAGCAGGGGCAGGCGTCAAAGTCAGCCGTGCTGTCACATCTAGTCACTGTTGCAGCCTGGCAGCCTGGCATGTCTATGTACTAGGATTAGATGGATAGAGTTATATATAAAGCTTCGCACTGCAACTCAGTGAAGAGAGCGAGTTTAGTTTTGCCATCTCATCTGCAGAGCTTCGGCCAACGCTGGTGCTTGTGCTGTGTGTGCGCGCGTTATGTTCTCCCTCCCTCTTCTACCTCTAGCCATAGTGTGTGTGCGAGAACGCCGGTGACCGGTCGGCCGACCCAGTGACCGGTCGGCTCACCCGTGCGGGAGATCCCGGGTCCAAGAAGTGGTATCAAAGCCATACAAGCGTCGCCGCCGGACTAACCGCTGGCGATGACGGACGGTTTGGAGATGGGCGACAGCAGCGGTGCTGCTGTGGCTGCCCAACCACGACAGGAGGTCGTCGTGCGCACGGTGCGGGAGGTCAGCGGCACCAGTTGGCCGACGCTGACTCACACCAACTATGACGAGTGGGCGGTGACCATTAAGATCAAGCTCAGAGCACGACGGCTCGGAAATGCCATTGACAAGGGCACCGACAACGAAGAAGACGACATGTCTACGTTGGAGGCTATCCTCACTACTGTGCCAGCGGAGTATAGGGAGCCGTTGGGGACGAAGAACTCTGCTAAGGATACGTGGGAGGGCATTGCAGCGATGCGCGTCGATTCCGACCGCGCAAAGAAGGCGACGGCTCAGCTGCTGAAGCAGGAGTACGCCACCCTCAAGTTCAAGGATGGCGAGTCGGTGGAGGACCTCTCCCTCCGCCTGCAGTCGCTCATCAGCAAGCTGAGGAGCCACGACATCATCATCGACGAAGAAGAGGCGATCTCCAAGTACATCTAGATCGCTCTCTCTATAGAGACGATGCTCGACTTATCCACCCTCACTATTGAGGATGTGGCAGGCCATCTGCGGGCAGTGGACGAGCGCATAGAGCAGGCCACAGCAACAATGGACAGCGGTAAGCTGCTGCTGACAGAGGAGGAGTGGGCTACCCGGATAAAGGAGAAGAAGTCCAGGGAAGCCTCCTCCAGCCGCGGTGGCGATGGCAAGCGCCGTGGCAAGGCTTCTTCGGAGAAGAAGAAGAAGCTCGATCCCAACACCTGCCGGCGCTACAGGAAGACGGATCATTGGGCAAAGAAGTGCCCAAATCGCAAGTAGGAGAAGAAGGCTGAGGCTCATTTAGCGTATGCTGATGAGGATGATGAAGCCACTCTCCTGATGGCGACGTTCTGTGCACTGCACGATGTTGAGGCCAAGGAGAAGGGAGAGATGATGGCAGTGGAAGGGCATGGCAAGGCTTTGAAGGCTGTTAACCTTGACGAACCGTGCGCCCAAGTCCACCTTGGACGTGTGGGCGGCGAGCAGGAGCAGTGGTGGTACCTGGACTCTGGCGCCAGCAACCACATGACGGGCTCCAAGGAAGCCTTCTCCGAGCTCGATGGCAACGTGATCGACACGGTGAAGTTTGGTGACGGCTCAAGGGTGGCGATCCGACGGTGCGGCACCATCATCTTCAGGTGCCAGAACGGCGAGCACCGTGCGCTGACGGATGTATATTACATCCCACAGCTGCATTCAAGCATCATCAGCATTAGCCAGCTAGATGAGCGTGACAATGAGGTACTAATCAAGGACAGCGTCCTCAGGATCAGGGATCGGGAGCAGCGCCTTCTTACCAAGGTGAAGAATTCTCGGAACCAGCTGTAACTTCTCGACTTGAAGGTAGAGCAGCCGGTGTGCTCGGCAGCATGGCACACCAAGGAGTCGTGGCTGTGGCATGCTTGGTTCGCCCATCTCAGCTTCGACGCGCTCAGTCGGCTGGAGAAGATGGTCCGGGGGCTATCCCACATCAAGCACGCAGGCGAGTTGTGTGACAGCTGCCTGGCCAGGAAGCATAGGAAGCTGCCGTTTCCAAAGGTGGCCAAGTATCGTGCGACGGACGCTCTCGAACTCATCCATGTCGATCTCTATGGGCCAATCACGCCAGCCACAAACGGTGGTCGGTGGTACATCCTCCTGCTCGTGGATCATTGCAGTCGCTATATGTGGCTGCAACTCCTAACGAGCAAGGACGAGGCGGCGGAAGCGATCAAGAAGTTCAAGGCACGCGCGGAGGCGGAGAGTGGCAAGAAGTTGCGTGAGCTACGGACTGATCGCGGCGGTGAATTCACTTCGATGGAGTTCGCTGCGTACTGCCCGGATCAGGGTGTTGTGCGACACCACACCGTGCCATACTCACCATAGCAGAATGGCGTGGTGGACCGGCAGAACTAGACGGTGGTCGGCATGGCTCAATCCATGGTGAAGGCCAAGAGCATGCCGACAAGGTTCTGGGGTGAGGCGGTGACCACGGCGGTGTTCATCCTCAACCACGCGCCCACAAAGGCCCTAAAGGGCGTGACGCCGTTCAAAGCTTGGTATGGGCGTATGCCGAGTGTGTCCTTCCTCCGGACATTCGGCTACATCGGCCACGTTAGGAAGACGAAGCCGGTCCTCATCAAGCTGGAGGATAGGAGCACACCGATGGTGCTATTGGGCTACGAGGAAGGTACCTAGGCATATCGGCTCTACGACCCACGCGGAGGCAAGGTGGTTGTATCGCGCGATGTCGTGTTCGACGAGAAGGTGGCCTAGGAATGAGATAGTCTGGGCACGGGGGAAGCTGGCGGCTTCACCAGCACCTTCATCGTCGAACACTTGGTCATCCACGGTGGTGGAGATGCTGGAGAGGAGGTGCCGACCACTCCAGCAACAGAGCCGACCACTCCGGGGGCGGTGTCGAGCACTCTGGGAGGGGTGCCGAGCACTCCAGGAGTGGTGTCGAGCAGTCCTACAGTGGTGCCGACCACTCCAGGACGGGTGTTGAACGCTCCCGTAGCGGTGCCGAGAGGTCTTGCAGTGGTGTCAAGCACTCCTACAGTTGTGCCAACCACTCCAGGAGTGGTGACGAGTGGTCCAGGAGTAGTGCCAAGCACTACAGTGGGGGTGCCAAGCACTCTAGGTGCTGTGCCGACCACTCCGGTGGAACAGGGGACTCCATCGACTCCGATCGAGTTCGCCTCACCTCCAAACGACATCACCGAGTTCGTGGATGCCTTTTACGAAGGTGAGGAGGTGCGATTCCACAGGCTAGATGACATCATTAGTGGCATAGGGTCCTCAAGCCTGGTGGGTCGGCTGCTCAATGACCTAGAGCTGCTTCTGTTAGTGTAGAGGAACCACCTACGTTCACGCTGGCTGAGCGCGATGCAAATTGACAACGGGCGATGTTGGAGGAGATGAAGGTGATCGAGGAAAATGAGACTTGGGAGCTCATCGATCCACCTGTAGGATGCCATTTGATCGGCCTAAAGTGGGTGTACAAGGTCAAGCAGGACGAGCGCGGTGCCATTGTCAAGCACAAGGCGCGCCTCGTCGCCCGAGGCTTTGTCTAGCGTGAGGGCATCGACTTTAAGGAAGTCTTTGCGTTGGTAGCGCGCATGGAGTCTATCCGACTTGGCAGCAGCGAAGGACTGGCGCGTCCATCACCTGGACATAAAATTGGCCTTTCTCATCGGCATGCTGATGGAGACGGTCTTCATCAGACAACCTTTGGGTTTCGTCGTCAAGGGAGCGGAGCACAGGGTGCTCTGACTTCGCAAGGCGCTCTACGAGCTGCGACAGGCCCCGCGAGCGTGGAACGCCAAGCTTGATGCCACGTTGGGCAAGCTTGGGTTCACGCGGTGTGCAACCGAGCACGCGCTCTACATGCGGCGACGGGGAAAGGAGGAGCTCGTCGTCGGCGTGTAGGTGGATGACTTGGTCGTCACCGATGCGTGTGCGGAGGACATCGACAGATTCAAGCGCGAGATGGCGGCTCTTTTTCGAATGAGCGATCTTGGCGTGCTCTCCTACTACCTCGGCATCGTGGTGAGATAGGGGAAGGAGGCGCTCATGCTCGGTCAGAGCGCGTACGCCTCGAAGCTGTTGGAGCGGAGCGGCATGGCTGAGTGCAAGCCGTATGTGACTCCGATGAAGGAGTGGCTAAAGCTGACAAAGGCCAGTACCGCGGT